CCTATCTATACCTTGTGGCTAATAGCCACTGATGGACCTCTGCTCCATATGCTTATCTAATTCCCTTTTGAAGCCGTCCATGCTTGTAGCCGCCACCACTTCCTGTGGCAGTGAATTCCATGTGTTAATCACTCTTTGGGTGAAGAAGTACTTCCTTTTATCCGTTCTAACCCGACCGTACTTCTTTGAAGAAACACTGCAAGACTAACAGATTCCCCTGAAGGAAGTCTGTTCGCGAAATGTGTGGGGAATTCTGGGAATTTGGTAATATATTTTTACTTATTTTGCGCCACTGACCTTGGCCTTATTTTTATCTCATATTACAAGAAGACAAGAATCCATGGAAAAGACAATAGTGCTAAGAAAAGTTGAAGGCACCCGGGAGGAAAGAAAGGAAACCAGGAAGACCCAACATGAGATGAATTGACTCAATCAAGGAAGCCAGGGGCCTCGGTTTGCAAGACCTGCTTAATTAACAGATTTTACATAGGCTGCAGAATTCCATTTGACAAGTTCAGATAGCTGTTTCCTAAAGCGGAGCAATAAGCAAAAACAGACCTGCAAATGTCTTAATCCTAGTTCTTCATGCCGTATAAGACAGAGCCATACCAACCAACTCAAGAGGCACTTTTCCCATGCCAACACCCTGCTCTTTTATTTATTCAATTTAAAATCCTAAGCTACGAGTGGAACGTTACCACATTAGGACTTTTGGTGCTCACATAACATCAAATAATGTCGGAAGAGCCATGTTTTAAAACCAGCTTCCTCACCATAGTTTTCTGAGCACGGACAGCATCACAAAAGATGTCAGGAACTGAGCATGGAAAGGGGGACAGAATCGACTAGACAGAACTTTTCCCAAGAGTGACTCTAAAATAACTCACACTTTCAGCATCTCGATGGTAACCGGAAGCGACCTTGTCCTGCCAACGGAGCCGTTTTCCTCAAAGGGGCCTTTGTTTTCAAAAAGCAGCGAGTGGGCCCTGTGCGACCCTTCCCCCGGTGGGGTCGCTGGCAGGGGGCTCGTCAAAGCCTGCTGGATGAGGATGTGCAGAGGGAGCTGGGGCAGCCGGGGAGGCACATGGGGCTCTCCAAAGCCCTGCTCGGCCGCCCTCCTGGCCGCCTCCAGACTTGAGACCCCATCCTGGTGGGCCTCCGTCAGCTGTTCGGGGGAAAGTGGGAGGCCTGCCTCATGGATGGAAGCAGGCAGTGGAACGTAGTGGGGTTCGGGAGGAATGTGAGCAGGTGGAGGGGGCGACGGAGAGGGTGGCGGTTGAGGTGACAGGTGCCCTGGGATCGAGGAAAGGCAATGGGACGATGGCACGATCCTGTCGCTGGGCGACTTGGGGGCAGCGGCCATTTCGAGCGATGACGACATGTTCAACGGGATGCCTCTTTTTGGAGGCAAAGGCGGAGAAGGTTTCAAGCCACTACTGATCGCGTGAGACAACTCAACTAGAAAGAGAGGAGAGATTATTGCCGTTATATTTGGGTAGAGCAGACATCCTTATCCATAGACAGGGTTTAGGAAGGTATGCAGGCTGGTAATTCAAACAAGGTAGGTTTTACACAAGCCTTAGATGCTCACCCTGTGGAAAAGAACCCACTTGGTGCTTGTGAGCAAATAACCAAAAGAGTACATGGACTAAAGAACACCAGTGAGGTCCGGGTGCAGTGGCTACAATGTACTAGGCTCTGGTTCAAACTTTTGATGTTACAGAATTGCTAGGCAGTCTAAGTGCAATCTTGAACAGAGCTATACCTTTCTAAGCTCATTGACTTCAAGGGTATAACTCTGTTTAGGACAGCCCTATGGGTACGCCACAGGCTCCCCTATCTAACCCTACCAAATCTGAAACCACCAACACAGGGGATTGCAATAGTAAGCGCTGGATTTGTGGTTGTTTTTCCATATAATGACTGCTAATGGCAGTAACTTCCCAGAAATTCCTGCCATCAATACGGAGGTTAGGTAGGCAGTTTCTGCTGGCAGCCAGTGCTTTCTTTTTGGCCCAGGGTGTTTATGGTGGTGTGTGTCATGTTTTTCCCACCTTCATCTGGATTTAACAGAGCTGCCATAAACCCCTGCTGTTACTGCATTTGGCCCCTCTGCAGACACTAAGCCTTCATGTGCATGTGCAGGAAAATGAAGGCGGTATAATGTTGGTAGTGGCAGAATGGATTGCAGCACCACTCCAGACTACAGGTGGCAGATCTGAGTTTTTAACGCTCCTTCGCATAAGGCTCTATGCAAGTAGGGAATTAACACAGCAGTGAGAAAGCATCTATCCCTTCTCTCTGCTTGCTGCACTAATCTCCTGCTTGCAGGGAGTTTGTAATGTACAGAACACTCCAAAATGTGAACTCTTTATCTGTAGCGCAACATGGCACAGCTCTCCTACCACCACCACATTTTACTATTTTATTATTCATTTCATTTATACCCCACTTTTCTCCCCAATGAGGACCCAAAGCAGCTTCTCTCCTCCTCTGTATTATCCTCACAACAATCCTGTGAGGTGGGCTAGGCTGAGAGTGTGCTAGTGGCCCAAGGTCACCCAGGGAGCTGCCATGGCAGAGTGGGGACTTGAACCTGGGTCTCTCAAGTCCTAGTCTGACATTTCAGCCTTTGCACCATATTGGCTCTCTCTGCTGTCTTATTCCCTCCTTGTCCTCTTGCACTTATCAAACTACAGCTAACACAAAACAGATAATGAACCATCCGGACTAAGCCCAGAGGAAGAGAAGGGGGAAGATGACCCTGCGGGACCACAAGGCCCATGCTTAAGTAAGGTTCCTGGGCCAGCGGTCAGCACAACAGGTCTATAACAACTAGATGGAAGGAGCTTCAACACAGTGTCAACCTTGATTGCAGGAATGTGTAATAAGGGTAAGTAACACTTGTAGTGACACAGAGCTCCTTGTCGTTTAGAAGGTAGCCATGGTTTTGGCTTCATAGATCTGGGGAGGGGGCCAACATTAAGTAGCTCCTGCATATTTCTTCTTCCTGCCAACTCAACCTCTGCTAGCATCTTAACATTGCCTGTTTCAGGTGGCTGACTGGAACTGGGAGCTCCTCGATATCTTAGCTGTCACGAGTGTTTGGCTTCACAACAGTTCCTTCTGCAAGGGCCCTTACAGTGTGCCATGTGTCTTCCCACGCCTCGGCTGAGTAATCTTTTACATTTTAAATCTCAGCAGCAGTTTGGGAGTCCTCCTTGTTTGTTTCAAGCAGGAGGTTCTGTATGAGAAAATCTGCAAATACGCACATTTGCAACCAGCGGGACGAGAGGGTGCAATGCCCTGGCCAACCACAAGAGGAAGCGACAACAAAAAACATAGCAGGTTCCCTGTAGGCAAAGACCTGGTGCGTGTTTCATGCTTCAAATTTCCTAACTCTCCTCTCACAGATCAAGGGCCAAATATTTCTGATGGTTCTCACTGACCCTGGCAACCACAGGCATCCCACCTGGGAGGTATTTCTCCTGCTATTCTCTTCGCCTTGTCTAAACGTGACCTGTTCCTAACTCAGAAACAGAGCTGGGATCCAGCAACTGCCAGCGACATGCACTCCCATGAATACAACTAAGCAGCTGAACAGGGACCTCGGCTTCCCTTAACACACACACACACACACACACACACACTCTGGGCCTCCGCGTCAAGGCATGACGACATTAAACCTTCCCACGCTTTATGGGTACAAAATTAGCTATGCTGCTCCCAAGACCACGCAGTGCTCTGGCGTTTATAAACTTGCAAACCATCTGCGAAGCCTTGTGGAGGATGTCCTGCACAACGGTCTTGGCTAGGATGAGCTCAGGTCCCTCCCAAGCAACTTTGAGAGCCAGCATGGCGTAGGGGTTAAAGTGCCAGACTAAGATCTGGGTGACCGTGGGTGTCGTGGAAGCTTGCCAGGTGACCTTGGGCCAGTCACACACTTTCAGCCCAGCCTACCTCACAGGGATCTTGTGAGGATGAAAATGGAGGAGAGGAGAACAATGTCAGCCACTCTGAGCTCTACTGGGGAGAAAGGAAGGATATAAAGGAATTAAATAATATGAACCTTCCTGTGCTACCCTCTACATACACACACACACACACACACACACACACTTAAGGAGAAGATTCCCCAACGTACGGGAAGGCTAGGGAGAGACATCAGTCTGTTACAATGCTCACACAGTGCTTGGGTGTCTTAAGAACTAGTAGATATACTGTGGCATACGTTTTGGAGACTAAAGACATTTTCTCAGGTGTTGACATTAGGATTGCCAGCTCTCAGTTGGGAAATTCCTGGGGATTGTACAGATGGAGCCTGGAAAGTGTGGGCTTTGTGGAGGGGAGGGATTTTTCAGCAGTGCATAATGCCAGAGAGACTGACTTCCAAAGCAGCCATTTTATCCAGGGGAACTGATCTCCATCCGCTTGGGACCAGCTGTAATTCCAGGAGATCTCCAGCTGCCACCCGGAGGTTGGCAACCCTAGCTGACATGGTTAATATTGTCAGATGTGGGCAAAATAGGCTTCAGTCCCCAAAAAGCTTATAAGAATGTATTTGATGTTTATATTCTGTTGGGTTGTTTCGGTTATACCCAATCACTCTCCACACCTCTGGCGTTCTCATGTAGCATCATTCCTCCCACCCCCAATATTCCTGCCCCAGCTGCTGCCTTCTTTTCTGTTCCTTTTTACTTATACCTTCCCCTTAGATGGTCATGCAGCGGGGCCTGGAGGAGCTCAACAGAGTAGAATTTGCCTGGTTTGTCCCAAACAAACAAAAAAGGAACGCTACGCTTCCTGTCTTAAGCCCAAGCTTGGGAGCAAAGTGGCAAAATCTCCTGCAGGCTTCCCACTGTGGATTCTCAGCAGGTGTGCAGAAACAGGTGGGGGATCCCCAGATCTGGTTACAGCTGAACTCCACCTCCTTCCCACACCTTCAAACCCACAGGTGTTGCAAGGCTCCACCCTACAGGCCAGGAACACTAAGAAGAATTGTCTTGACATCAGTGACATTCACTCCCCCCTTCTCCATTGGTGTTTCATTTCCAATTTAGTCGAGGTGCACAGTTCAGTTGCTGTAGCAACTTGCAAGATCCCCACCCCACCCCCACCCCGGCAAGCAGCTGCAGCCAGGGTTCCCACCCTCCAGGTGGGAGGTCTCCCAGAATTACAACTGATATCCAGACCAAGAAGACAGGTTCCCCTGGAGGGCACGGCAGTTTTGGAGGGTGGACTCTCTGGCATCACATCCCTGCCGAGCTCCCTCCCCCTTCCCAGGCTCCCTCTCCAAATCTCCAGGGACACCCCAACCAGGAACTGGCAACCCTAAGATGCACCAAGCAGGCCCTCGGCCAGCATGCATGCCAGAGCCCTGTCGTTTGCTCCGGAGCTGTTCCTTCAGTCCCTTTCCCCCTGACTGGAGCTATCTGATCCCATGTCATGAAGCCCCCAGACAGAGAGAGGTTGGTCGGAAGGGATCCCCACCACACCTCAGACCAAACCAACTGGCAAATTGATAAAGCCTGTTTTTGACGCAGAAAGCCACCTTGTAGCCAGGGGCACAAGTGTTCCTGAATCAGCCCATGTGCTTGCGGCAAACACATCTTCCCCCATATCATTGGTCAGAACTACAATAGTGAGAAGAAGCAGGGTTTCCTAGACTTTAAATGCAAGGAGGAGCCTGTGGTGCCTAGGATCTTTCCTGGGAGGCAGTGGTTCCCAGACTGTGGGTCACAACTCACTCACATAAGTGCATCTCTAACCCAGCAGCACCATGGCAGCTTCATCTGTCAAGGTCTGGATTGATTTTATTTACTCCATCTAGGTCCCTTCTTTCTCCTAGTGGGGGCCCAATGCAGCTTACATCACAACAGCCCTGTAAAGTAGACTAGGCTGAGAGTGTGTGATTGGCCTAAGGTTACCAAGCAAGTTAATAGCAGACTTGGGACTCTCATCGGTTTAGTGTAGTGGTTACAAGCACGGATTATAATCTGGGAGAACCGGGTTTGATTCCCCACTCATCCACATACAACTGCTGGTGTGACCTTAGGTCAGTCATAAATTCTTTCAGAGCTGTTCTCCCAAGGGCAGTTCTCAAGACAGCTCTCTCAGCTCCACCTACCTCACAGGGTGTCTGTTGTGGAGAAGAGAAGGGAAAGGAGATTGTAAACTGCTCTGAGAAGCCTTCGGGTATAAATCCAATCTCTTCTTCTTCTTCATATCCTAGTCCACACCAAATGCTCCACTACAGTGGCAGCAGCATTCTTGAGGGTCTTTTGCATCACCTGCTATCAGATCCTTTTAAACTGGACATACTAGGGATCAAACCTGGGACCTTCTGCATGCAGAATGGGTGATTATCACCTGACCCACAACGCCACCCCCTAAGTAGGTACAAAGTTCAGGCTCCTGAGCTGCAGAGGAGACACACACACACACAAGCAGTGGAAAGAGTCACCATATCATCTCCATTCCTTCCCAGTGGCTTGGACTTGCTACCAACCACCAGCAGTGTGAGAAGGGATGGGTATGCAGCCTTTTGCATTCTGGGCACACACTACAAGGTCCCAGAAAAGGCAAAGCTCAGAAGAGAGTCCTGCTTCAGGAAGTTGGAGAAGCACTGCAGGATTATACAGAAATGAGCACTTCTGGCACTGGAAAGGGGTGGAGGAGCTGCCAGGAGTCTCAGAGAGGACATGGCCCAATGGCAGAGCATCTGCCCAGCATGCAGAAGGTCCCAAGTTCAATCTCCAACATCTCCAGTTAAAAGATTCAGGTAACAGGTGATGTGAAATACCTCTGCCTGAGACCTTGGAGAGCCACTGCCAGTCTGAGTAGACAATAATGACGTTAATGGACCAGTAGTCTGTTTCAGTATAAGACACCTTCATGTGTGTTCAAGATACTACTAGGGCAATGGTGTAAGAATACGCAAAGACTCAGCAGCCAGTTAAAGAAACATGTCATCCTGATTTGACCCTGGATGCAGGGAAGGAAAGAAGAACAGGAGGATGAAAGACATATTAAGGAACAGGGCCTTTGAACCATCCTCGCACCCCCGTTTATACCTCGCTGGCCTCTTACACAAACCCCAGTTTAAACAGCAGTAGTGCTATGCTAAACCTCACTCCAAGAAGTCTCCAAAAATACTCAGGAGAGATCAACAGGCTTGGAAGGGTACAGCTCTGCTTAGGACAGCACTGCTAGCCATGCACTGAGAAACATGGCCCTCCAAGGTATTTGCACAACAGGTGTATAGAATGCCTTTTAGCTTCTGGGGCAGCATTTGTGAACAGCTGTTAACAGATGCGACTGCTTTTGAGGTTCTGTTACCTTGTAGGGGGAGTACTACGTCAGATTTCCATTTAATGCTTAACAAAATTCATTCTGGCACGAGCATGCATGAGTCAAAGCTCTCCTAATCAGATGTGCACAGTGTACACCCACAGCAGAAATACTGTAACTTTCGGTATACATATTTCTGCTATGAGTGTATCCTCTCTATGCATATGACTCACGGAAGCTCATGCTGTGATGAATTTTGTTAGTCTGTAACAATGCTGTTGGACTTCTATTTAATTCTGCTGCAACCAAAATCTTTGGGACTTGAAGCCCATCCACTATATACTTTGGGACTTGAAGCCCATCCACTAGATTCCAACACTATATTCCAGCCACCCTGAGCCTGTTAGCGGGGAGGGCGGGGTATAAATTGAATTAATAAAATAAAATAAACATCAAAACAGAATTAAACTCATGCAGTGGCTGAAAAGGCAGACCACACGGCTCTTGCCTTTGGGTGGGGTGTACGTAATCTGTGAACAGACACAGCTGCGTGTACTGTGGTGGCAAGAGCAACAAAGATAACGAGGTAGAAAAGAGCAAGAGTCCAGTGGCACCTTAAAGACTAACAAAGTTTGTGGCAGGGGATGAGCTGCTGTGAAGAAGTGAGCAGTGATGCACAAAGCCTCATAACCTGCCACAAATTCTGGTAGTCTTTAAGGTGTTACTAGACTCCTGCTCTTTTCTACTGCTACAGATAAACACACCCACCCATCTTGATCTATCTCCAAGGTGAAAATAGATACATAAATCGGAGGAAGGTCATTTTTTGGGTGTAAACACCCTTAACCAAGGCCAAGCAAGGGTCCATCAAAGGATAACAGAGGCAGCACTTTGATTAAGCTGCTTCAACTGTATGCACGAAAGAGCAAGCCCACTTACCTATTAAAGGGTTGCTATTCCTATTAACTGGCTTTGGAGGTGGGACGGGGGGCTGCTTGGCAGGGACTGTGTTGGTAGTGCTCGTGAGAGCGGTCGTGTAGGCATTTGTGTAAGCAGAGGGCACAGTCCTGGGGGCCGGGGAAGGAGCGGTGGAATAATTGGCCCCCTTTGCTGCGCTGGTGGCTGCTGCTGTTGTGGAGGAAGGCATAGTCCTTGCAGTGCTGGTAGGGACAAGATCCGGCACATATGTGTCGCTCGCCTCCTGGGAAGTGGGCTGTGACAACGGCCGTTTTGGAGGAAGCAGAGGTTGCCTGGGGGCATGAGATTCAGGATTGGGTGCCGGTTCCGAATTGAGGTGACCACCAGACCATCCTAAAAGAGAAATAAGTAAAAAAATTTCTTTAGTTATGATGGAGATCTCTAAAAGTACCCATCTCAAAAGCAGAAGAGCTAGATTCGAGATACCTGGCATCTGGCAAAGGGAGCTTTGATTCTCAAAAGCTTATACCTTAAAAGTCTCAGCAGTCTCTAAGGTGTTACTGGACTAGACTCTACATTTTATTATTTATTCATTCATTCAATTTATAGCCCGCCCTCCCCGCCAAAGCAGGCTCAGGGCAGCTTACATAAAAGGTTAAAACGCATAAAATAACAATTATAAAACAATCATAAACAATCCGAATATCATAAAGTGCTAGTGACAACAGAACTAGTAATAACAGTATTTCATAGAGATGGCAGAAACAATCATGATGGAATGTTCAAGTGGGATACAGTCTGAGTTGATCAGCTCATCTTGATCTATTTATGCAGCAGGCACAGGCTGCTGCTGGTAGTCCAGGGGAACGACCTTTGGCACTTACCGTGAAGGGTCCTTCTCCTCTGAGGTTAGGAGGACATCTCCATGGGTTATTCCCATCGTTCCTTTAGGGAGGCAGGAAATACTTTTTTCTCCTTCCTGTTGGTGCCTTGGGAATAGCCCTGCCCCTCAGTTCTGGGACTCCATAAGCAGTGAGTATCAACTAAGGCTAACTCCCCTGAGGTAAGCAGGTAAACTTCCAACATTAATGATAGTACTATAAAACAGTAGAACAAGAACACAGAAGAAGAAGAAGAGAACAGCACAGAGAAACACAGGCAAAAGAACGATGATGAAAGCGGGAGGGCCGAGATGTCCTCCTAACCTCAGAGGAGAAGGACCCTTCACGGTAAGTGCCAAAGTCATGGGACCTCCAAAAGCAGTGTCCCTTAAATGGGTGGGTCATCATCGCCAGCCAAAGGGAGAATGTGCTGAAGGACTCTTCTTCCAAATACTGCGGCGGCTGACGCAATTGTGTTTAGCTTGTAGTGACAAATGAAGGTAGATACCGACGTCCAAGTAGCAGCCCTGCAGACCTCCTCGACTGAAGCTCAATTCGTGAACGCCGCATTGGTCGCAGCACTTCTCAAGGAATGGGCCGTGATCCCTTTGGGAATTTCCATTCCCGACGCCTTGTAGGCCTCCGTGATGCATGACATAAGGACTGCGCTGATGGAA